TACTCAGTTCAGGTGCTGGGGTAGGTTTCTCTGTCCTGTGTGGGCAGGACATTTGGTCTCAGGACTAGCTGAGAAAGTCAGATCTTGGATTGTGCTGACCCAATAGGTAGGGCTTGTAGCTTCTTATCATGTATCTGGGGACACCAGGATCAGGAAGTGTCAGTGCCTAGCTGGTCAGCTGGAAAGAGGAGCATGAGGTTAGGGTGAGGGAAAAAGTGAATTGTGATTGAGTTAAAGGTCTAGGGCCCTCAAGGGTGAGGTTAGTAATCAGCTATGAGCATGCCTGATTATGCAAGTCAGCTATCATGGGCACACACATGTCATACTGCTGAGATGGCAACTGTGACAGTGGCATATGAGTCACAGACAAATGGGACTAGGGAACTATGAGACACAGCCTGCCATAAAACTGGTTCTTGGGCCTTCTGGCCCAACAAAGACTGACATTGGAAATCCATCACAGCCTGTACTTCATAAGCCCAGTAAAGCTTGAGGGTCCCTCTTCATGTGGCCACATAGTCAGGTGTAGTGCAGACCAGGCTGCTGTCCCAGAATCTTGTCCAATCACCCTACCTTCCACTCAATCCCAGCAAGTTTTGGAAGCAGCTAAGGAGAGCCTTATTCCAAAGGTCCCAGCCTTGGGGTCAGGCCCTACAGTGGCCATCCTATAATATTAGATCGTGTGTGGGCATGCACTTCCAATCTTTGTCATACTGCCCCTGTAATTCTCAGGCAGCTGTGACATTGACACTGAAACTGGAGCTGGAGACACTGTGAACCATGCAGCATTGGTTTCATCCAGTGGTCACTTGGGAGCGGCAGCCTTCGATGTCCCTCTGTATTGAGCATGCACATGATGACCCTTGACAGAATGACAGTCACCTCCCTGGAGGAGTTCACAACACCTGCCACCTTCAAGCTCTCTCCAGAGACCTTTGGCATCCCCTTATTGTACCTTAAGGCCTGGAATGGGAGGTGGGGTCCACAGTGCCTGTTTTGGTGGTTAGGTATTCCAGAAGTTTCCAGTGCTGGATGGTGAAGAAGCTACTGCAGGAAGAAATCTGCAGAATGAGTACTCACTGTATCTGCAGTGGAAGAAGCCCACAGGGAGAATTAATGAAGACTTCTAGAAGGGAGCAGTGAAATCCACAGGAGAAATCCCAGCACTCAACACTCAGAAACTGAGACAAGGAAGTTCACCCTATGTTGTGGATAGCAAGGCCATGTCTCCAGAAACAAATGAAGGAAGAGGGAAGGAGGACTCGCCTTTGTCTAATTGATATGAATAAAAGTGAAAGATGGTGGATTGTTGACCTTCAGCAACCGTGCTGGGAAGACAGAGATGCAATAAGTAAAACACACAAGACTCAGTGACAGACACCCACAAAGGATCAGCGTACCCAGTGTTTGGCAAATTAGCACTAACATCAACCACAAAAACCGTGGGAAGGGAACCAAACAAAATGCTGCTTTTTTCCTTGTCAAACTAAATGTACCATGTGAACCCTCACTTCATTAGAAAAAAAGCCCTGGAGACTCAGTATCAAGAGCAGGGCATTTTATTCCATGGCTCTGAAAAGCCAGGCATCATCTCAGAAAGGCCTGCGTACTGATTAAGCATAGAGCACTTTTACATCGCTTATATAGATCCCCTCTTCCGTTTTCCCATTGACTCAGTAATCAGGAGACTTAAATCTTACATATCACATAGGTCTTTCCCTCTGATGCTTGGGTTTGTATATTTCCTTCTCTCTCATTTTTAAGATTTACTTAATGTACACAAGTGTCTGTCTGCATTTAAGTCTATACAACATGTGTATGCAGTGCCCATGAAGGCCAAAAGAGGGCATCGGGTACCCTGGACTTGGAGTTAAAGATTGTTGTGAGCTGCTAGAGTGATAGGAACCAAATCCTGGTTCTCTGGAAAAGCAGCCAGTGCTCTTAACAACTGAGCCATCCCTCCAGTCTCTGTTTGTACATTTCTTTTTTATTTGTGTTTGTTCTTGGAGAGTTTCATATAATGTGTTTTAATCATATTCATGTTTTAAAAACATGGATGCATCTCTGTTTTGTGTACTATTTTTTGATCAATTCTTAAACTAAAGGTTTTAATTTTTATGTATCTTTTGTTAGTAAATGAATTAATGGATTTCATTAGAGCATTTTCATGCATATGTTTAATTGTACTTCAATACAATAAAGCTAATAGATGGCAGATCTGTGGCCAGTATTACATTAAGTGAGACGATTGAGAACAAAGAACAAGGGTCTCTGCTCAATATAGTATGTGACACCTTGGCTACAACTATGTATTAGTTACAAGGCCCTCCAGGCAAAGTGCACTTCCATGCCTAGCATGTCCAGTAGCAACTGGCCTAACTTGAGCTGTGTAGGAGAGGTAGGGGTAGGGTCCTGTCAGCATGCGACTGAGACCATAATAACCAACCTCAAGGAGATCTGGGCAATTCCCTGCAGTTGGAGCCAGCTCTGCTGAGCTGCCCTCACATGCTAGCCCCAGAACGGTGAGCTGTGGATCTGCTGTTGTATGCGATATCCTTATACAGCCTTTCTGCACTGCAGACCCAGGCAAATGCAGAAATAGGAGCTCAGCATGGAACAGCCACCAGGGATAGCCTGCTGGGTGGGTGTGAGGCCGCCTTTGAGCTGTGTCCCAGCAGGGCCATTCTCAGAGACAACCCCACTAACCATTGAGTGGCCTGGCCTAATGAACCCTACTCTGTAACTCCTGAGGACAGGATCTGGGAGGGAGGAGACAGCCAAGAGCTTCTGTGTTTCTGGAAAGGACTGCTACATCCAGCCATATCCTAACAGGCAGAAGGCTTTGGGTGTGGGGAGAGAGAGCACACAGCTAAGCACGCCTGCTTGGTCACTTACCATGAAGAATCTTCATGGTGCTAGGAACATGGGAGGGTTTTACAGTGGAATAAGATAAACAAGAACAGAAACCAGTGAGTGTATCCTGTTGCCTTCCCCACCATCTGCCTGGGCCCTGCCACAGTTGCAGTCCCCAAATAACACACAAGACGCTATATTAATTATGAAGCTGTTGGCCGTTTGCTTGTTTCTTACTGACTAGCTCTGACTTAAGTATTTAACCCATAATTGTTAATCTAAGTATTTCTCTTACCAGAGAAAAGGGTCCCAACCTCTTATTCTGGCAGCCTACATGGTGTCTGCCTGTGTATCTCTTTTCCAGAAACCTCCTCGACTCCTAGTTCCACCTATCATACTTACCTATTGGCCAATAGTGATTTATTCAAACCAAACAGACACATTTACAGAATGACATCTCCCAACAAGTGTGTGTGTGTGTGTGTGTATGTGTGTATGTGTGTATGTGTGTAAGGGCCAGGGGATCTTGTCCTCCAGCCCAGATGGAGTAATACTAAGACCCTCCTTATCATTCCTTTCTAGAAAGAGCAGAGACTATTGCTACAGAACAGTGGGGGGAAATCAGCCCCCAGAACACATCTAGAAAGAGTGGATTTTTGGTAATTCAACAATATATTTTTCTTCCAAGGAAATGTCACTGGATAACAAATGTGTATGGTTCCAGCTGTTGGTTTTCCCATGTTTACAGACAGATTGTCCTATCATATCTAACAATCACCTTCCAAAATGTGCTGCAGACTCAGACCACATTCCCATCCCAGCTCAGTATGACAGTAGGGGGAGGGGTGCATCCCCAAAGCCTACACCAAGCCTTCCAAGCCACAGAAGCAGGCAGGATGCTGTGGTTTTAGTCAACCTCTGATAACTATGGGGTGGATGCTGTGTGAACTGTTCTTAACATGTACTGTCAAGTGATATTGATAGGAGAAATATAAACTTTTCAGATGTGATTTCCCCCATGTGTTTGGTAAGTAGATGAAGATACAAAGGACTGATTATACCTATAAACTTGTCTGGCCAATGAATGTGGCTTCCACTAACAACCCGTGGTCTCCCTAAAGCTCATACCATGGCATATGGCCTGGAGAGGCCACTCAGCAACTGGACCTCACTCTATGTATATATACCATGGGGTTTGCCCATGTTGGAAGGGATCCCATGTTCTGGAGTTAGTCCTAAGACTTCTCCAGGGTGACAGAACTGGAGTTGTTACTGGGGTTGTTGGAGTCATAGCTTGAGAGCAGGCAGCCCCAACAAGCAAGGGCCATCATCCATCCTAATACAACAGAGACTACCTTGATGACAATCAGAGAAAGCAGACTTATTCCACTTGGACACACTGGAGGAGGAATCAGAGGTCCAGTGATTCCCTAAGTCTATAGGATACTGAAGAGGTTTAGGTGTAGAGGGTAGGAGGTATATGTGTAACTAAACAGTCTTGGTCAAGGTGTGGTCCCACCCATTGTTGGACCATCCTTGTCTCAGCTCAAGTCTCTCCTGCAAGGTGGTCTGCTAAGTTGCCAGAATTGTGTGAGCACTCTTCCTGGGAGACAAGCATCCCCCGTGGCTGATACTAACCTTCCACCTTTCCCTTCTGTCACCAGAGGACTCCTGAAGATGTTTTATTGTCTGTTATCTCCATCTGTCTGATTGCTGAAATGTGGGGGAAGCTGTATCTCCTCTCCTCCTGGAGCTGTTAAAGGGTAGAGAGATGAAGTGCCTGCTTCCTGGGCCAGTATGGGCCATGTGTTAAGTATTCAGATTTGTGCCATGCAATCTTCAAGTGGACCTAGACCAGCTCTGGCCAGCACAGGCTGGAGAATGAACAGAGTTTTCTCTGGGTCCCCAGCAGAGGGCAGCCTCTCTTGGAGTACAGACAGGGTGGTGCTTTTAGGGGCATAATCTTATGCAGAGTGCTCCCCACATGCCATGCACCATCATCCAGGTCTTCAATCTTAGTCTCCAGAAGATGGTTAGCTTACCCACAATGGGTAAGAAGGAAGGTCTCTGTGTCAGGGACTGTGTCAGGAACATGACTCTGAGTGGTTTCAGGATGAGGCTGACTGCTCTGTGTCTTTGCTCTTCAGGTCTCCTGACAATCGCAGCCCCTGCGGTGCCCCTGGGAGTGGCCGTGGCTCTCTGGAGATTCTACACCTCAGCCACAGTCCTCCACCCTGTGTGGACACCGCCTGTACTCCACCTTCCCACAGTTTCCCAGAGGCCTAACCAGGACAGTCCAGTTCCTCGGAGCTCAAGTCTGTCCAGCTGAACCCAGGAGGCCAGGACTCAGACACACAGGTCAGGGGTGGTGACAGGAATCAGCAATACCTGGTGTGTGGAGCCTGGCTGCACCCACCCTCATCAGCTACTTGCTCCCTGGAGTTGGAGGACAAGAACAAGGAGGCTGCAGCCCAGCCAGCTGAGCCACAACGCAAGGTCCGGGGACTGTCGGGTGCAGAAGCCACCATTTCCTGTGTCCCAGACTGTCTGAATCGCTTTTATTTTCTTATACTTTCAGTATACTCAATAGACCAAAGAGCAAATCTATTTTAACGTGGACACGCCCTTGCTGCCAAGAGTTCCTGGGTTTGATTGTGGGGCGGGGGAGGGCACAGTGGCAGACATGCTGGTGGCCCAGGCAGCATGGAGAGGGCATCTGCGGCCAAGACTCCCGCCCCACGAACACTGCAGCGTGCTCTAGGAGGATGGCTTTGCCCAGAAGGACACCACTGTGGTGCAGCTGCAGGACCCAGCCGGGGCGTGGCCGGAGACGGCCCCCAGCGGACAGCAAGGGCCCCGGACACAGACCCTTTGCCCCTGTGCTTAGACCAACTCTATCGTACTAAAATCACTTTCTGTTTTAACCAGTTAGACATGCCTCTTCCACAGCTCCATTTTTGATAGTTGGATAATCCACCATTTGCCAAGAGCATGCTGGGTCTCCCGTGACTGCTGTCTCATCTGATACACCATTTAGCTCCAGAAAGCAAAATTAAAGAAAACGGAAGTAACCCTGTTTGAAAGAGATCATTAAATGTATTTTGCAAAAGCCTAAAGTTATATATTTAACAGTTTTTATATGTTGTATATTTGTAGAAAATCCTATTTAACATTTGACGGCAGGTCTGACCATCACAAGAGTTGTGGCCAGGCCCCCTGTGATCCTGGAAACTCTGGGGTTGGCCTTGGAGGACCTCAATGCAGGGATGGAGGGGCCAAGCTGTGGTTGAGGTGCAGAGGACCTTGCCCAGGCTAGGAAGCTCTGTCTCTCTTTGCTTTGGTTCGGTCTGGTAGCTCACGCCCCCCCCTGTGAGTCTGTGTGTTGGTAAACATTGTGTGTACAATAATTTGGTCATGCCTCCTCTGACGGATTTTGGTCCCTCTCAACTCTCTCAACCCCCTTTGCCATCCATAGATCTTGAGTCCATGTTCGGCCAACTTGTCCTTCCCAAGTAAATGGCCCCCTTCATTCACAGAGGTCCTCGGTCTCCACATCAGGGGGTGACACAGCAGGGCTGGGGGGTGGGGTAGAGGAGCTGGGGAAGAGTCACTTTCCTTGGTTACCCTACACTGTGGTGCCAGAGGCCAGCGGATAAGGGACAGACACCGTCCCCATTCATTTTCCTAAGTTCTTCTAAAAGTATACTACCTACATGTCCAATTAACATGATTATCATGCTAGTAATATGCTACTAAAGAAAAGAGTAAAAACAATGTATTTAACTCCAGTATATAGATGCCGTTCCAGCAACCATAGGCTAAAGATAGGAAAGAAAGTTCTGTGAGATCACGTGTTCTCCCTTCACTCATACAGAGGGATGAGCATCCTGGGCAGAGAGATGAGGCTGAAAGGGGGTTCCCCTCAGAGAAGGTTGTCAGTCAAGGTCACTGTCCCCACGGTGCCAGGCTCCGGCGGCCTGTGTTGCAGGTGGTGAACAGGGCAGGAGGTCTCATTTTACCTCAGAACCTCAGCATACATACAACCTCCCCTCAGCTGTTTCTTTTCAAAGCTAGCATAGACCCCTCCGAGGGCAGAGACCGGGAGATTTAAGATGTTGCAGCATATTTCCCCCCTTGTTTTACGGTATCCAATTTTGTGTTGATTCAGCTAAATTATGAAAATAAAGAAAAAAAAGTCCTTTGATAAGCATGGCTTTTGTTCCCTGACCGTGGTGTCCTTGGAGAGGGGAATAGTTTGTGTGGCTGGTGGGGATGCAGGTGGGCACCATGTCCTGGGTTGTCCCTGATCACAGCACCTGAGACTGACAGTGTCAGCTAGGAATTGAGCGCCAAGAATTTCTTGGGCTTGTAGTAATACACTCTGAGGCCATCCCTGGGTTCAGAGGTTGTACCCCGGGTTTCTATACTATATGATAGTCCCACTCAGGTGTGCTCCATAACTGTGGAATGTGCCCCTGGCACCCCCACACGCACCTAGAGGGTTCCCTGCTCATTACAGACACATAGTCATCTGTTTTACTCCACCCCTGTGGGCCAGAGACATCCCAGGTGACCTAAGGGAAGATGGATGGCTTTATGTATCTACATGTCTCCCAGTTCTTGTGAGCTATAATGGCCAAGACACAGAACAGGAGTCCTGCTCAAAGGTCCACGCACCCCAAAGAACTCCCTTTTCACAGAAATCTGCTCAAGCCTGCAAAGAGCAGTCCTTGGAGATGAGGCCTCGAGTTGCCGCCCAGTTCCACTTGCCACCTCCTTATGACAAATACTAACCCTGGATAACTGTAGCTTTGGGGTGGAATATGACTCTCTGATATCCCTTTTGCTTTGTTCCAAAGAGACTCCCATCAATCTTCAAAGTCGCAGAGTCGGGCACACAAGCCCAGTCTGCCTCTAAGGGTGTGGCTTGTGCTGGGGTTGAGAAGGTAGCACATAGCAGCTTGCATCAGCTTCAGGAGCTCCCAACCAAACCCTGTCCCTTCTCATGTGGAGTCTGGATGCCCACATCAGAAAGAGTCAATCTAGGCTAGGAAACCCATTGCCTCCTCCACAAAGATATACTATAGTAAGCTGCCCTGGTCTATGGCAGCTAGAACATAGTCAGTGTGAGACAATGGGACCAACACCAGGGTCCCCCTCCTCCATCCTCTAATGGCACTATTCCCCAGGGAGATGTGTATTCACTCCAGATAGGGAGCTGGCAATAGACTAAAGTAATACCACCAAAATCCTACTTGACACATTGATGAGTTTATTGGAGTTACAGGAGATGGGTGAGAGGTTGTTGACAGGTGCATAGTCAACTCAAAGGCAATTACATCACCCAAAACCCGACCAGCATGGGTGACTACTCACAAAGAGGAAGCTCCCTGCATGACTTACAGGCAGCTCAAAAGGCTGAAAAGTCTCTTCTCAGCATCTTTATGGCTTATACAACCTTCAGAAAGGAGGTTTTGTGACTGACACATTTAAGGGATTTTTTTCTTTTTGAGACTTGTGAGTTGCTTACTTCCTGCGTCTTAAGGAGTTTCCCTCTGGATGGAATGTTTTAGTAATGATAAATTGGTATATACCACTACACCTAAAGAGTCATCATGAGGAGAGAGCCAGGAGTCTGGTGTGGAGAGGTAGATCAGCTCCCTCTCCAGCACAATAGGGCTGGTGTGTGCTGTATAAGAGCAGCCCTTCCTTCTAGAACTGGCCACAGAAGGGCATGGAGATTTTTTCTTTGGGTGAGGAGCCGATTCAGGCTGGTGGAAATTATGCATTCAGGAAGCTTCCTGGGCAGGCAAGCTCTAAGGCCTCTGGTATGGGCTAGAAGTCTGTGCCTGGCCCAAAGGCACTGAATTAGGTGGGGTGTGTGCTCCTTCTGAGTAAGGGCATGACTCTGCACAGACCTTTGTAATCTCTGAGGAAAGAGCCCGCCTTGTTGCTGACACATGGGCTCCATGGTTAGTCGGTAGCCTTTGCTTCCTCTCCCACCAGCGAAATCACCATGGGTGCTCTCCTCCCCCTCTCAGACAGAAGCTCCTCCACATGTGAGCAAACACCTCTAAAAGGTTCTAGACACACCCAGATGCCAACTAACAGGAAAGGATTCAGGGACAAGCCTTAACCTCTTGTCTTCCCTCTCCCCAGATGCAAGTACATCCCAGGTCAGCTCTGCTCCAGTAATTGATGCCAGGCAGTTTCAAAATCAAATAGACGCCATGATCCCTCTGGGCCTGGCCACCATGGCAGCCGGCTCAGGTGTCCAATGGGTTCCTGCTAGCTAGACAGGCAGAAGTGGAGATATTCAGGTCTAGGCTGAAGCCACTAACTGATGGTATTTTCCATGGATCATCTGGGAAGTCATGCTTCCTCTCTGAGCCTTGGTTTACCCATTAGAAGAATGGCAGGACTTTGGGGAGACCTTCTGGACTAAGAGCATGCTTCACTGTTGGAAAGTATTCACTGTATAAGTTTCCTTCTCCCCTTTGGGGACTTGCTGAGCATCAGTGCCTGTACCAAATTTCTGCCTCTCAGCACCTTACCCAGGACCCTAGACAATGACCCAGGGCAAAGTGCTCTGAGCCTTGTCTCCAATATCATGTCATGGGGTTCAATTGAGTTTCACCATATGGCAGGTAGGCATACCTGTGAAGCTGTGTACCCATGCATCGGGCCAGAGCATGAGCCAGAGCATGTACTCACATGTAACGTGGTGGTATTCTTATACCAGGAAGTGCCACTCTGTGGATAAGCCTAGAGTTCCGGGACCCAGAGCCAGTGGGACTGGGGTGAAGGGAACAAGGCAAGTGGGCCTGTAGGCATTGGTGGCGATGACCAAACACCAGCATCAGGATGCAGGTGCTTGGGGCTGGCGTAGAGTCAGAGTGTGTGTACACGCATGCTCATTGTCACCATCACTGAAAATGTGGGACACTTTCTCATCTGGAGTCCCAAAAAGGTAACCTGTGGTGTTTCTGCCTTGCTGAACACCAAGACTGTGATCAGAGATGTCCATTGTAGGTAGCGGATAGCTGCAGTAAAATGACTTCAGGTGACAGTCATTGTCACTCAGAGAGAGCTTTGTCCTCCTTTCCCTGCAGTGTCTGAGTCTTCCCTGCCCCCTGCTAGACACGTGACATCTAGAGGGAAAGTACAGGGAGACCCTGTCCTCAGCTGCCCCTCAGCTTGGGAAGAAGGTAGGCATACAGGACTTGCTCCTTTTAAAACTGTCCCTAGCATGGAGAGACCCCAGATCTTGGGGGAATGTAGGATTCCACTCAGTGAGAAAGAGATAGGCTTCTGTACTTCACTTGACAGGGTCATCGATAGGTTCTTCCCTCCTACCTGTCCAAGCTGATGGTGGATTCCCCAGCAGGGCCAGCCAAAGGGTGATGAGCCACCGGGCAAAGCGGGTAGGGAAGGAGAGAGTGGGTGTCATGTGGAGTGGCCATGCACACCATCTTTCAGGGATGAAGGATCAGATTTGAGGGCCATCTGTGTTGCTCCACAGAAAAGTATCTCATGACAGTGGCCCACTGTTACCCTAACATATATCCATCCATCCCCATTTCAGGATTCTGCCTCAACTCTTGTCCCTGTTTGCTCGCCCAGCTCAACCTGCACACCAGTCAACTCCCCAACATCATGTATGTGGGAAGGGGTGCAGGATTTGGTCCGTCCTCACTCCTGACCAGGTACCCGCTATGGGGACAGGACATTACCCCAGACCCAACCACCTAGTGCACCCCCCTTTGCTCAGCACTGACCTTGGTGCTCCCTCAAACCTGGGGAGTTTCATCTCCTCAGAGCGCTTGTGTGTTGTCTCCATACAGTGAGGACTCATCTCATTCCGTGGCCTCACGCACCTTCATCCAGAAGTCAACACCTCTGGGACATGCTGCATCTTAATATATTTCATTTCTTTGTTTGTGCCTGCAGTCATAGAATTACTCTGAAATAATAACCACATTTGTTTTCTGCTGTTAAGAATATCATTCGTTTATTCCCTCCACCAACGCTTCAGGGAAGGAATTTGTCTCCGTCGCTGGTCGTGGGTAGCCATTGGCCCCGTGAAGCTGGGGCGACCTTTGGTGGCTCAGCTGAAGCTCCTGCCTCTCTCCCTTGGGATTTTCTCTGAGAAGAGTCTCTTCCTGGACAAAAGCAGTCAGAAGATTTGATCTCTGTCTCGGACACAGCCCAGCCCTGCTTCAAACCAGGCCAGTGACTATAAGGAGGGACATGGCCCTTAGCTTTGCAAGTGAGTATGAAAGCAAACTTATTTGGATTCCCATTAGTCAAGACAAGAAAGGAAGGATTTACTCAAGATCCTGGTGGCAGGAGGCAAGACCAGAGACTGCACAGGCTCAGAGGCTAAAGTGTGGGCACACAGCAGCACACATTTCCTCATGGACCAGAGGAGACCCCAAGTCTGAGCAAAGCATGATCAAGGGGTATCTTTGTCATGAATCTTCTTCGGACACAGCCATGAAACATCTGAGAGCTCCACAGTCACTGAGAGCAAGAGAGAAAAGTACTCTGAGAAGTGAGGAAGCATGAAGAAGTTACAGATCTTGAGTGACAGTGCTTTGTGATTCCCAGTGCATGGGAGTCTATGGAAGGGAGACATGGAGACAGACACTCTGGGAAGCTGCCTTCCTATGTGACTCTAGCTTGTATCAAGTTGACAAAAAACTAACCATCAAAGGCAAACTCTGATATGATGGTATAGGCCATCTGGGCACAACCAACTCCAGTCTGTGCCATTTGGGTATAGCACTCATTGCCCCAGTATGGAGTCAGGGCTGCAGGAAGCCAGAGCTGTAGAAGCTCCCAGCCTGTGGCTGAAGGGTAGGCTTGGCAACTCAATTAGGCTCATGTACAGGCAGAAGTCTTCTTTACCAGAGCAAGGCACACTTGTTTTCCAAATTAGCTTTGAAATAGTTTTTTGGCAGTAGGAGGTTTATGTGTCTGCATGAGTCTGTTTCACTGTCTCCTTATGTCTATGTCCCTCTATCCCATCCCACCCCTGTGTGTATGTGTGTGTGTGTGTGCACGCGCGCACGTGCACGCACGTGCACAAGTGTAGACAACTTGGTATATGTGCGACCCTTGCAGGAGGCAACAGGCTCTGAACTCCCTAGCTTGGCAGGATGGGGGTGAGGGCAGCAAGGGGAAAGTACCCCTCAGAGTTCAGGT